ATTTTGACTTGGACCATTTTTGTGCTTTCGACATGATTCATTTCTTGTTTGTTGTTGTCTGAATTGTTTCTGCTGCATGTTGCAGCGCTTCGTCGACAGCGGTGGGTGTTTTTCACTTGAGAAATGAATTTTCCTCAGAGAACACCCCCAAAAACGGTCTCAAGATGACATGCCCCAAAAACACACGGGAAGTCTGAGATCTTGGTCTGAATCCAACTTTTTTTTTCCACGTTTCAATGAGAATTTTACAGTTTAACAGTCCTGCGGGACTCGCCGATCAGAAACGTCTGAGTCCCATTATCCATTTCGACAGTCCCAAATTTCGAATTGTGAAATGGTCTACTTCTTCATTTGCATCCGATAATAACACAAACAACAACTATATACTGTCACGTTGCGAGGTGGTGGTGGACCCCAAAAAGCAGGCAGGAGGGAGGAGCAAGGTGTACTCGAAGAATTGAATTAAAACACAGAAAACTAAATCCAAACAAAGTCCTAAGAACAAAACGAATTCAAAGTAACAAACAAAAACCATGACTGAAAACAAACATGGCAGTTGCAAAGAAACAGCAACAAACAAACATGACAGTGGCCAACAGCAACACAAACAATGACCTGACAGCCGGGAGTCCTTTTATAGCCACTAATTACCTAACGACCAACAGGTGTGCAGCTGCAGGGAAAAGCCCCACAGTGCCACCTGTTGGTCACAAACCGAAACATGACATAGACATTGATGATAGGTTTATTTCTTATCAACAAATGCTGCACAAATGTAAATAATTCAGGCATACAAGATTATTATCGCCCAAAATTATCGGACTTTAGCTGCTTCCTCTGTGACATCTCCACAATAAACTTTCGCAACACTTGTTTTAACGTTACACCATTTGGCAATCGTCTGCTTTCCACGCGGTGAAGGCCGATCTCGCCAATCTCGTCTTGCGAGAACGGAAATCTCGTCACGCGAGATGACTTAACGCCAAATGGCAGCAATTGTCAAACTGCGATCGTTGCTGGAAAAAAAGATTTACCGTAGTTTTTTATTTTTGTTTTTTTTTTTGAACTGAGAAATTTCCTTGCATCCCAAAAACGCACATTATTTGGAACCGTGCGTCCGGTGGGAATGCGTGCGCTTTCTCCGGTCTTTGCAATTCAGCCCTCGATGACGGTTTCGTTGAGCGGTACGCAACTTGGTCAGCTCGTCTCTGACGAGAAGAGCCACAAAAAAGTTTGAAGAAGCCGTGCCTTCACAGACCCTTATGCTTTGATGTTTTGACTGCGTAATGTTTCCAAATGGCGCAAGTCAAGCCTCCCCCTTTTTTAAGAGTACTTTGAGGTGCGGTTAATCACGCCTTTGTCACATCTCGGCCGGATGACTGTCACGGGCTTGACTTTGTTGTCGACCC